CTTGAGTCTAGTTACATCACAAAAGTTATTCACGATTGCAAACGAGATAGTGAGGTCACTAGTTGATTTTGTTTTTTTCTGCATCATGGTATGTTTGATATGAGTTACTTCATATTATTGCTATTGTTAAAATTTTTTATTTTTTGTAGGCATTGTATTTTCAATTCGGCATTAAGTTGCACAATGTTGTGGATACCCAGGTAAGATTATTTAATGACTCGCTGAAACTTATGGGTGCAATTTTATATGTTTTTTGTGATTTGGAGAACCAAAAGATGTCATAGTTTAATTTTTTTGTTTGTGACATGAGGAACGTAAAGAGTGTATGGATTTGAAGAACGTTAAAATTTGGTCTTTTGGTTTACCAATGGCAATGTCTATACTTATCCTCTTGCTCTTATTCAACTGCCCAGTCTTTGTTTTTGCCATAGTTTTTTTTCTTTACAATTGGAGAATAAATGTATAATTTCCCTGGTTTGACTTTTAAGTCTCTTTTTCCCTGGTAATACTCCCTTTCCTCCCTCTGTTTTAGATTGATGATTAGCATTCTTAAAGTCTGCAGAATGCTACTGGACTTGCAGTTTTTTGGAAACGTTCAAGATATGATTAGACTATGGTCCTTTGTGTTTTTTAGAGAAAAAAGTTAAGAAAAAAAGAAAAATCATATGGGGTTGATGACTTGGAAAATCTTTGCATTTTCTCTGTTTTAATACTAGCCAGCTTGGCCTCATGTTAACCTGCTTTGTCTGAGTCGGCCATATGATTTCTTAAATTGGCTTGTACTTTTTGAGTTCACTTGTTGAAGAAGCATCCATTTTAACTCCTTTTTATGAGAAATGCAAGTTTGCACTTGAAGTTTCTTACGCAGATAAAATACGTTTATGGAGTTTCAAGCCTTCATTTTCTTATTGATGTACACAATCAAGAGAATTTTAAGAAGTTGATTTTTCCTGTTCTTTTTGGGGCTTGTAGATTGCATATTCTCTGATAGAAGAGCAAGAAGGACGGAAAAGATCACCAGATGACTACATATCATTTGTTGGCCTCCTCGCAGATCCACGTTATTGCGGTATTTTATATGTCGTGGTATCCTTTTAAATATTTATTTGTTTCATGTAAAAGAACCTTTTTGTTTGTTAACTTTTTTCCTCAATGTTTGTTTGTTTTAGTGTTTTCATGAATGCATTTGATGCTTGCTTAAGATTTTTATTTATATGCTCCTGTAAATTGCTTCTGATGACTAAGTAGCTACCTTGATGCCTTCATTGATTAAGGCAGTTAATCATTTTTTAAAATATGTGTCTCTGGTTCAGTATTAAATTGTCTGCACCAAATTGCTTAATTTATTACTTTTGCTAATAATTTTGAGGACTTGAATCAGGCATATCTTATCAGGAGAAGGAAGAGGTCCGTGTCCTCCTGAGGCAGGTTAGTTTGGAGGTCTTGTTCACTTTGAATTTCTCTTTTACGGTAGTTGAAACTACTGGAATTCTTCATGGAAGTAAAAGTGGCCATTTCACTGTCTTCATTTCATTCTATTAAACTCTTTTTAAGTTTGCCTTTTTCGTAGCATTGTAGGAAGCATTTCAAGGGAGATTTCAAATGCAGAAATGGTTTTTATGTGGGAAAAAATAAATAGTATGCAGCCTTATGAGCAATTTTTAAAATTATCTCTTTCAGGAAACACTTTTTCTTTGAAGTTTCATTCAACTTAAAAATCATATTGTGAATAGGCTAGAGATACGAGATCTCTGTATGTTATGTAAAAGATTGTATATGCTTCGGCCGTTGGCATTAAGTAGCCTTCTTAGGATCTTAGAGATCTATTGATAAAGAAACAGGATTGGATCACCATATTATGATTTATAATGGGTAGAGTAACTGATTTCCTTCCATATGTTTAGTCGAGGTTGATATTGTGTTGTACTATAACAAACAAGAAGGCTGGAAATTATAACCTACAAACTTGAAACAAAAGCATACCAAGAATTATCATTAAAATCAGTGCAGACCTTTATTTCCAATGCATTTTTGTTTCATCTGCACAATTGCCTCTTGCATATTATGACTGAAGTGACAGTCTGATTTTGCTGCAATAATGTATAGCAATGTCATGTCTTCAAACTAGCATCTTATGAGATGCATCAAATCTGTAATGTACAGGACCCCAAGTTTTGGACTTACCGGCCACTAACTGACCTGATGGTCCGAGCAGCTGCAGATGATGTCCGCTTTCTCCCCTACATCTATCACAATATGATGAAGAAACTGAATGAACAATCCTTATGGTATCTTGCTGTTCGTGGTGCACTTTATTGTCGATGTTTCTGCATCAATGATAATGACTATGGTGATTGGCCATCCCTTCCACCAATTCCAGGTTTTTATTTTCTTTGAATTTCAATCTTGTTACAAATTTATTATTTCTTGTTTGTATATCTTTCGAAATTATTTTTTTCTTCTTTGTATATTGTTCCTTGAGTATGAGAAATTGGTCAATCCAATGAGCTTTTTTCTTAATGTAACTTATATATTTAATTTTCATTTTAATTATTAATAAGGAAGGTACTGTAGTAATTAGATATAATGTCTCTCTTTCATGAACCATAATTTTCATGTTTAAATTCACTGCAGAAAAACTTTGTCATTATCTAACTAACGAGTTTTGGTGTTTAACTTCTGGGTAATTGATTATATGTCTATATTGTTTTGTGTGTTCATTCCTTATTACCTGTCTTCACATATTTCTTATATCTATGCTTACTTTGCTACCTCATTATTCTTGGGTCAATTGGTTTTATGCTTTCTGTTTCATATCAGAAGGTATTACATATGTTATTGTAATTCGAAATAAGTCAAATTATTTGAAAGTAGGATTCATGTATTGTTGAGATATAGTGTATACACTAAGAAATGGAAGGGAAAATTCAGTGCATATGTATGTTTGTAACAAACCTTTAGTTAGATAAATTTGCATCAAGCCAATATATGTGTTTCAGTATCTGCTCCCTAACTGTGATTGTGAATGGTATAGAAGCACCTAGTCAGATTTGTAGTTGCACTAAATTTGTTTGATGTATAGTTTATTAATAACACAAGATGTAAGGGACAAATGACTTAAGTTTGCTGTTTGGTACGTCATGCAACTTTAGTGTTGTTGAGATTTCAAGATGCTGATATAGATTTGTGGTTTATCTATGTAGATAGCTTGATAGGGGAGGGAGATGCTCCTGAGGAAGAAATACTGTCAATTCTCGGTGTTCCTCCTGGAAAGATGGGACTTATTATTGGAAGAAGAGGATCTTCCATTTTGGCAATTAAGGAATCTTGCGAGTATATATATCACTCTTTCTTTGTGTTTGTATCTGTGCATTGGATACAAATGCAATTTTTTTCTCTTTTGTATGCAAGCACCAATATGGTCTTCTCATTCTTTATTTCAAACTCTATTCTTTGCAGGGCGGAAATTCTCATTGGAGGTGCTAAGGGTCCACCTGACAAGGTTAGTCGGCAAATCTTCTGAATAATTTTACAGTTGCTCCTATGTATTTTTACCTACGCTGTGTACCAATCTCGTTGTGTGGTTCCTCTTGATTTAGGATTGAAGCATCTAAAATTATGATATGGCATATGGGTGACTTTTTTAACATGCATTGCTATATGAAGGAAAACATAAACATGCTACACTTTTTGAGAGGATACTTCACTAGTTACTGAACTAAAAGTATCCTCACTTCTCTTTCATAGCAAAATTGTAGATAGCAGCTGATGTATAGTTTGGAATGTTAGAAGCATTGTGGATAATCCCTGACATCCATGTATTGATTTTCTTAGATGGTTCTAGAATGACAAAGCTTCTCCCTTTGGCTCATCTAAAATTTGCATTGCTCTATTACCTTTATCTTAGCTCATAAATATTGCTTGAGATTTCCATGTTGTCATTTCCACTCTCCAGTTATCTTTGATAATTCCTGTCCTAACTTCATTCGTGCACAAATTTGTGTTTGTTCTTGTATCAATGTTTTATACGAGTTAAGTAAAAGAAACAGTAAGAAAATATTTCAAATACAAGATTTTGGAGTCAAGGAAGCCCCTAGTTCATGTATGTGTAGAACAAAAGAGCATTCACAAATGAAGTACTGTGCATCTCTTTTGCCCAATTACTGAATGAGTTATGGTTTTCTTGTAGGTATTCATCATAGGACCAGTGAAGCAAGTTAGGAAAGCAGAAGCCATGTTAAGGGGGAGAATGTTGGAAGTCTATTACTAAGGAGCATTTGTCTTTAGTGCTTCTTTTCAAACTCAAATCTTTATAACAATAATAATCACTTTTACTGCTGTAATATTGTTGCCCAACTTTAGATGTTTGCTGTTATGATCATTCTTGGGTAGGTCTGTTTGTCTTCCAAATTAAGTTGCTGTGTTATCATATGGTCAAATGCCAAGGTTCACTCAAAATCATTAAGTCCAACTAAATTAACTAATTATTCCCAATATATAATACAAATATTAACGCTAAATTCAACAACAGAAGAACACCCTGCCGGAGGACCAGCTCTAAAGAAACGAGTCTGGATCACATGACATTATTTTCAAGTGGGTTCTTTATAAACATATGCAAAGAAGAGTTCTACTCTTATCTGCTAGCGAATCCATGCAATTACTGCCAAAAACAATCCCCCTGGCTCTGCTCATTAAACTGCTTTTCAATGGTTTTATTTTATTTATTTATTTATTTTGAAAACATATTGGGTAATACTAATATGGAGTCATAATGTTGTATTATCCGAGTCTTTGATAAGATTCTTATGCACTACCGGAATAAAAACCTAACCTAAACGTTTAACTCTTGCTTATGCTATATAGCTATGCAGGTTGAAGTCATCTTTAATATTCTTTATCCGAAGTACGTAACAGCACCAGAACATCTAACTGCTAATTCGTTTTAACTAATAAGAAGCCCATACAAATTTCTTACAGTAAATTGAAAAACTGAGCCATCAGAACTTGACGGTACTCTTACATAGAAGTAACTCTATCAATAAAATTTAACATACAGCAATCCAAAGTCTCTCCTTATAATCAGGCGCAATAATCAAGTCACCATATTGTTTTTTCATGTATTTACTTACGAACAAGAACAACTAAGCACACAAATATGCTCAACACTTCAAATACCTTAGCCAAGTGGGCAAAAGAATATTGAGAATACACTGGATAAATGAACCAAAAATAAAAAAATAAAAAATTTTACTTTTTGAAGCTGCCACCATATTGATATTGTTGGCCACCAAGGTTTGAGAATAAGTCATCTTCAACTGTTGCTTGTGAAGATGTAAACCCAGATCTACCAAGACCAGACCCCGTGCCCATTGCTCTTCCCATGTAAAATGAAGTGGGAGGGCCCTTTGTAATTTCTTCTGATCCATCACTCAGTCCACCCACAACACCAATATCGGCCAATGATACCTTCTTGGCTGCAAGGTGCACAATACGAAGTGCTTATGAGGTAAAACTTGGGCAATTGAATACTCATATGTTAACACAGAGAGGGAGAAATGTCTGTATATAAAAACAAATTGCATGCAGATTACTATGACTAAAGGACTACATCTATCCTCACAGGCAATGACAAGGACCATTTCCAAACGTTTTAGTTGCTTCTGCCATCATCTAAATTTGTGCTCATGAAACAGTTTCATTCATGTCATCATGGAAGCAGCCAAACATGTCAGTTATTAACTATTCCCAGAAGTTTAAACAAGATCGGACCGATAGGGAGAGGACAAAATGTATCATGTCCCAAGGTCCCCCTCCATATCTGAACATGAAAATGATTAGTGCAGATTCCATGGTCCAACTCTAAATCTGAGACTTCAAGCATCATATATATTTTATGCACAAACTTGGATCCACTACCATAGTCAAACTATTAAATGTATACAGCAAGAAATTTGTCTAACTATAGATCTATGGAGACAAGATTACAATATCGAGCAACATAATACATACATGAAAATATTATTTAATATATGTGAAGCAATACAATATACAACATTGCAAGCATAAAAAAATATTTAGGTGGTTGCAAAATATACTTACGAGCAGATATATTAAGATCAATTATCCCACGACTTAGTGAATCTGCCCAAATTCCAGATTTCACCTGGAAAGCGTCCTTTTTGGTTTGAGTAGTTGAGACTGATGAAGACTTTCCGCCCAAGTTGTTAAGGCTGGAATCACTGGTAGGATTTTGTGTAGCTTCAGTAGATACTGACTCGGAGTTAGAAGTGAAAGCACCAAAAAGATCAGATCCATCAAAACTATTGAGTGGAACCGTAGCAAATGGATCAACAATGTCGATATTTGTTGGTCCAGAATTTGAAGGCTTGGCTGGTGGCTGCACAACTGGCTCCGAGGTGGCAAAAAAGTCAACTGGTGAAGGAACTGCAGATGACACAGCAGGTTGCGAAGCAAATAGATCGACCTCGGTCTGCATAAATGGTCATTATGAAAATTAAGTGCAGAAACAAAATTACTTTAGCACCTAATGGAGAATGAATACATCCCAAGTCCTACTCCAGCATAAAAATACATCTTTCAACAACCAAAACATTTATCTACTCAGTCAAGCAAATATTCTTCTACTCTGTGTCAACTCTTAGTATTGTCAAGTCAGTATCTCATCCAAGAAACACACATAACATTTATTCCATACCTTTGTGGGTAAATCCTAAATCATCAGATATATGGTAGCAATGCCTTTACAACATAACATTGAACATGCACGCAAAATATATGAATCCCTAGGTTTGCATAAAATAAATTATAACTTACACAAGTAGAACATTCATTGGTAAATTAACACATTTGATGAGCATTTACCATCAACACATAATGTTTCATAGTGTAAGACTGTGGCTAGTCAACTTGTCACTGAAAATATAAGATACACAACATTCTCAAAGTTAAGAAGATCATGATATCTTTCTTAGTTTTCCTTTCATAAGGAGTAAACAAGACATTGATGAACATGCTTTACAGTTCTAGAAAAGAATCAGACCTTAGTCTGAGAACTTGTTCCTGTTTCTGGCTGAGGTTTTGCTGATACAAAAGCTGCATCAGCAAAAAGATCAACCTCTGAGGAATTGCCATTCGATGCAGATGTTTCTGCAGGAACTGAAGTTGGTGCATCCATAAGGTCACCAATCAAACTGTCTCCAAACAGATCCACTTGTTTAGAGCTTCCAGCATCTGGTTCTGTCAAATAAGACAATGCAAATATATGGTTTGTAACAAGTATCCAATCCAAATATAATTAGTGCAACAGTATGAAATGCATCTTATTCAACAAGTTTCTAAACCTACAACATTGTCCAAACGGAATCAGGCAATTCACAAGGTTCATATGGCACAGGAAGATTTATGGCTCATATATGCAACTACCATATAAACTATCAATAAAAAACAGCCCTAGCTGCTGGGAATGAAACTCTCTAGGCCTCACATGTTCCAGCACAACCACACCTTCTATATAACTCCCCTCTCCTCAACCCACTAACGATTATGCATTCCAATCATATCCTCATTAGCAAGGAATGGAAAGTTAAGTAACCATGTAAATTTCATTTACAGTCTATCCATTTACAATCTCTTGATTTGCTGTATATTTATTTGAATATACATATCTGTGAAAGTATGATAGCCCTATTCGACAAAGCTCTAAACTATATGAAGAACGGGCAACAGACATGCAATTGCAGTGACAAACCAAACAATATATACTTAACAACCTAAACATGTATGTGACCCTACGAGGCTTCTTTTTGATTAATTGAAGAAACAACTAACAGCATAACCAGTCACACAGAATACTTACTGTTACTAGAAACCCCACGAGGATCAAAATCATCATCAAAATTATTTGACGGAACACCTGAACTGTAATTATCTGAGTCTTTTGATTTTGTTGCTGATTTTGATGCGTTAGATGCAATATTATCTTGACCCTTGCTGCAAAAGTAACATTGTAAAATTAACAGTATACTAACTTTAAAGAGGCAAAGAGAAACTCCTGACACTTAGTGACAGAATGGTTCAATCAACTCTCCCCCTCTCCCTCTTGGTGCAAGAAAAAATATCTATCATAACAGAATTAAACCTGAGACCAGCCATACCGTAAAGACCCCTTCTTCAACGTGCTCCCTTGATTTTCACTTGCAGCCCCTCGACGTGACTTTCCAAATGTATCCTTTTCGAACTTATCCTCTCCATACCAATCCCTTTCTTTATAACTATCCTCCTGAAAACCTCCATAACGATCACTACTTTGAAAGCCACCACTACCATAAGAGGAGGCCGAACCAGTCTTATATGTTATCCCAGAAGATGAAAGTCCAAAGTACCTAAGGATAGTGGCATGGATATAGTTAATGCACTGAAAACAAAAGCAACAATAGAATTTGTAGAAGCTGAAATTTACCACATATTTGTAGCTCCTAAACCTATGACTTACTTTTCACGATTTGCAGCAGCTTTAGTTCTAACTTCTTCTATTTTATCTTTGTTGTTCAGAAGGGTCACTATGATCTCTGCCTTCTTCCGCACATTAATTCCCATATCCTTCCCATTTGGCTCAACATACTCAAAACTTGATAAAGACTAATCAATGCAGAAGAGATAACAAGTAACCAGAATTAAGAAAAAATAAAACTTGATTCCGAACATGTTAAAGGATTGCATAGGCATATCAGGAAAATATAAAACAATAGTCCTTACTGATATCTGAAAAGTATGTTCTATTATGTCATCTACTGCACGTTCAGATCCATGGGAAACCAAATATTCTATAACAGCCAATGCCTGATACAGGAGCAGTTTCACATATTAGTGCTTTAAAAATGTAATTAAGCGTAAAGATGGGAAATGGATGTAAAAGATTTTGTATATGTGAATCTTTAGGTTGATACTGCAATAATGAAGGAATATGCTACCTTGTAAACATAACGCCAGTCCTTGCCAGTTTCACCTAATCTTGTCCACAGAACATTCATTACTAACTGACATTCAGAGCTACCAGACATAGTAACTAATCAGTTAATTACAAAATAAAGATATCATTCTTTAAAAATACATCAATACTTGCAAAAAGTTAACACAAACTAACAATTTCTTAGTGGCCTGTGCTATTTCAGCCAATGCAGTGCCATGAGGACCCCAAGGTTCATTATCTGTCGCATCCAATACCTGTTTTAATAATGATAAATTCATGTAATAAACTACAAATGAATTAAAAAAAAAACTTTAAAGACTCACATAATGGCAGGAATGATTCATATTATCCACACAACACAGGCTTCAACTGTAGCCAGTCTAGCCCCCACAAAGTTATGGTATATTTGGCATACTGTAACATATACCTATAATTACCCATCAATCCAAATTGATCCATCAGATTATGAGAATGAAAATGAGACAGAGACATTATATTATGACAAATAGAAGCATACCTTTCCAAATTAATAACTAATTTTAGAACAGCAAGAATGAATGGTGATTCGCTAAATAGGCACTTCCATACATCAAAAAAAAGTAAGACCATTCAGATAAATTACCTTAGTCTACTTTTCAAAAATTTCAACATAACCTATTTCTAATGGCACCATAGCAACTTGAACTTCAATCCATAACTTAGAACACAAAGTTGGAGTATAAAAACTAAGCATTCGTTTCAAAGTTTCTAACAATAGCAATGGCCAACTGAAATTAATGTATGAAATAAAATACACCTATCAAAATCAAAACCTGAAGCATAAGTTAATTAGATAGTAGCATAAACTGCGCAAACCTATCTGAACAGCTCACCTTAAACATTTCATACAACAATTTCAACCTCAACAGAGTTTTTCATTGCAATATAAATCTCACGTATGCATCATCAACTAAGTTATATTTCATGATTAATTAAAAAAAAAAAAAAAAAAAAAAATCAATATAAGGTGGAGAAACTGAATGCCTTACCTTCTGTTCGATCTCCGGAACCTTCAAAACCTTCAAATTCACCTCCCTCTTTCTGTAAATAATTTAATAAAAAAATAATAAAATAAAAGACGATTTGATGGAAGAAAAATCTGATCGAATCATAGAATTGTAAAGAGGAGATAGGAGCCACATTTCGCGAACTGTCTGATCGATGACCTTCATGAAATCCATGATGATAGATCTGCAAAATTGATAGACAAAATTATGCTATAGGAAATTACGCCTTAGATCTTAGATAATTGTCGATCAAGAATGCATTAATAAATTAACTGTAAACTATAACCTATAAAGGCAGAAATTCAGATCTTGGATTGAATGTGGTTGCAAGGGTGAAGAGGTAATCAGATTGTGTTGGTTTTATTACATACCGAGACACGGACGAAATTTTTTAGAAACGACGACGTTACTCGCGTCTATATTTTAATTTGTATCCACTCTGATCTGTGGTAATTATAAACTTATTTTGGCATGGAATTTTTTTTATTTTTATTTTAAATTAAATCAAGTATTGGTTTTTGATTGATTACGCGGATTTTATCACTTTTGTTCAAAAATAAAAAAAAAATGATGATGAGGTCTTAAACACTTTTTTTTTTTTGTGTGTGTTAGAGTCTAGAAATTAAGCACTCAACTAATCAATTAAATAAACCCCAATCTAACATAAACCGAAGTGAATCGAACTTAGGATCTCTTAGTAACCAAAGTCTATTCAACCATTCGCCACTCAATGTGGTTTTTAATAATCACTCTTGCTTTATATTTACGATATTATAGTTTTGAAAAATTATATAACATAATTGATGGAGCTTAACATTAATAATTTAAAAGTAATATCATAGATCTAAAATATTATTATAGTGAATTAACATAATTGGTGCACTTAATACAACTGTTAGAAACAAATCTAAAGCCCGCCAATTACTTGCCTCCATCCCGTTGTAATTTTAATTTTTGCTACTTACAAAACAATAACTTCTAAAATTGAAAACTGGGGTTGACTTTGTGTTTCCAAAACTAAGGGCGAAATTATTTTCTGACAGATTAGGGTTCATAATGTTTTAGGCCTTAAACAAAAGCTTATAGGAATGTAAGGGTGAGCACGGAGCGAGTAGAACCGAAACCTAGGGGGAGAACGTAACCTAATAACATTCTAGTTCCGTATCGGCATTGTGCGGGTAATTTTGATTCTATTTTTTTGGAACTGACACTGTGCGGTTCCATTCCGTTCTTATTGTGGAGGAACCGGAACCGAACCTGGAAAAAAAACCGTTTTGTATGATGAACCTGTATTCTGTGTAATTCTTTGAATTACCCTTGTGTTTGGTCATCACAACCTAGACTCAGCACTGAACAACTTAATTCCTGACATTATTTGTTCGAAATGAAATAATTGGTGGTTTCATTATTTTACATCCTACTACTCCTAAAATTAAAATAGAACCTGTAAAAGTTTTCAGAATACCGTATTAAAGAAGCATACAACTAGTACTATTACAGACAAATGACCCATTATAAAACTTAATATATTCTATATATATTATATTTTAAAGTTTGTTGTGACATAATGAAGTGACATGAATTGGAATTAGAATAGCCAATTAAATAAGTTATGAAGTGGTATTAAGAAGTAGGTGTGAGCTTAAAATATGTATATTGTGATTGGGAATTAATAATACGTATATAAATAGTTCAAATTTTTATTTTTCAATAAATATCAAAGTCTACCTTAATATAAAATCTCAATAAGTAACCGTAGCAAGATATTAATATACAGCTGATAATTTTAAACGAATGCAAATTTATCTTACTAGTTTAAATATACATACCTTACTCATTATAAACATTATCTTCTAGTTAAATTATTACTTATTACATTTTAATTGAAATAAACATGACTTACTTACTTTATAGTAATCATACGTTCAATTTGCGAGGATTACATTAAATTGATCTCCGAATTAATTTGAAGGCCATGGCCGTCTATATTGAGGTATAACATTTAAGAGATTATTTAATGGAAATAGTAGAAATTTAATTAATTATAACATTCATTATAGATTTATAGTCTAATCCACTTATCATTCTACAATTTCATTAAAACAGGTATACACACTTAATTGAATTATTAAAATTATAATTCAATTATATATCTCATTAAAAAATTTTTTATGATTACTAATTCCTATAAGGTCCTAAATCATACATTATTCCAGTTACTTACCTATAAATATTACTCTCTCACTTTGATTATATATAGTATATTAATCAACATATTAGTATTACTATTTACTACATAAACTTACTACATTAGCACATACTTACTTATAATGATTAGAATATCATTTATTACAACATTACCTCTATAACTTTAAGTATTGATTACGTCAATTTAATCTGGATGCAGTACCTTATATATGTAAGTGACTCCTTTAATTACTTATAACATTACCTAATTTAGATGATAGTTTATTGCTATTAAGACATTGTATTCATAAACAATTAATTATAACATTAATCCTGATAATAAATTTTAAAACTTTAAATTGAATTAAACATTACCTCTCTAGTTACATATACATTAAGCTTTACAATTGTTTATCATTCCTACATTTATGTGCCTGACATTGCTCATTTATGATTACTTAATTAATGTTATACATAGATGTACATATTTCTCATGATTTACCTAATTTATTATAAATTTATAACAGTTGCATTATAAACTTCATAATTTACTACATTATTCCTTATTTTACTTAAATGATGTGAATTTTTCCTTAAATATTACATTAAGATTCGTATCTCTGACTGTACTTAATCTTACTATTAACATTTCCATTATTTATGATCACATAATTAAGGTTAGACTATTTCACAATTATATACTTAATTGATTACGACATGTATATTACCAACATTAGTAATTACTATTTACTACATAACATAGGCACTAATACTTGCAAATGAATGATAGATAATTTACATTATTATAACATTACATTATAATTATAGTATTACATCCTTAATTAATATGTAACTTACATTGATAATTAAATTACATACTTAATTAATTATAACACTTATATTTATAAACAACTATTAATAGAATATTTAATATATATTAATAGATTAAAATTTCATACTTATGTAGTATTTATTATAGGTATAATTATCAACAAATGTACATGAATTTTAGATATCTTTATATTGATTATGACATATCATTATAACCATTAATTGTAACTATTCCATTATAAATGATATTATCTATTAATGATCAAAGAATTTCAATTAATTACCGATGTACATTATAGGTTAACTATTATTACGTTATAAATTATAACATATTGATATTAATTATATTATGATCACGTTAATTATTACAGTATTGTATATAACCGTTGAATATGATTACCTAATTATTATGCCTTTATATAACATTATAATTTACTACATTTATTACATTACTTAATTCAATGATTAAAAATTTAATAATTATTAATATATCTTCATATATTTATAGTATGATTACTTATCATTATGACTTCCATTATAAGCATGTATATAATTAATATTACTAAACTTATCAATTATATTTAACAATGATTAAATGTATTTAGATTTGATAGTATCACTTATTCTTATCCTAACAGTCCTATAGTATGATCACATAATATTATAGTCATACTAATTATTTACTGATTACTACCTTAGATTATGACATTATATTAAACCATCTAAATTATCAAATGGTCCACGTCTTTTTATTTTGTTTGTATCCACAACTTTTACAGTAGTTTACATGATCCATAATACTGTCTGCATTAACTTATACTTTAAAAGCTTTTAATCTTACTTATCACAAGAAAGCCCAACCAATAGCATTAATATTCGATTTACTTACAAAGTTATGATACCACATAATCCAACAGAGCCTATTAGGATGTCGCCACCAGGACACACGTTATTAATAGAAGCCGAAAAACCAAACTAAACCTTTTACACCAAAATTAGACTGTGGGTTGAAATTATTAACCAACACAAATTAGAATTAAAAAAATTATGCCCCTCCAAACTATTACATGATCAAAATGAATCTTAGATCAAACAAATAATACAAAACCCACGGTACAATAAAATTAAAATTTAGAGAAACATCCTTAAACAAATCACCCATAATTACTAACAAAAAATCATTACAACCTTAGGATTGAAGAAATTACAACACCTAGCCTCCTTCGTCAACAACTTCAACAATAAATAGTAGGAGAATATTTCCCCTTCTGTACCAAACTTTGCATACGAACAACACATCAAGTCCACCTATCACCAACACAATCATAAGTATTAGGAACTAAATCAATTAACACGAATAACAAAACCTTTTGAAATAAAAACAAAATTATAAAACAAGAATTCTTACAAGATTAAATAAAGAAAAACGACAAATATTCTTATACAAAATTTAGTCCCAAGAAGAACAAAATACCCTTTATCGATCTTCTGGTACAATACCCACAAAAAATTAAACAAAATATTTATTTCCTATTTGGTTAGAAAATAAAATGTTACAAGATTTAAGTGAAAAGAAAACTATTTCTGTTACCACTAGAGCGACAAAAAATATGTGCAACATCAACAATAAAACTATTACTATCTGTCCTCCACCTTTAGAAGAATTAAATGATAACCATCACACAAGTACAAATAATACTCAACCATTTTAAAAAACTTTAATAAATTGATGATGATCAAAAGCAACCAACATTAAGAGGACATTAAAAATATTCACATCAATAATTACTCTAATCAATTCTCCACCACCATTAGTCAACAAATGAATAGAATCGAAGATAATACTACCCACATAATACAAAATTTTCAAAAACCCCCGGTCAAATATAAAAATTACAAATCTCAATCCACCAACTTATTGGAATTCAACATCAACTTTAACATCAACTTCACACACCCTTTATTCACAAAAATTATTAATACCATTCTATTTGTTGACCCACCTTGTTTGACATTTCGCGAATAGAGGAATTAGTTAGATTCCCATAATTCACCATCAGCTTATTTTAGCAAATAGTTGGCTGTAAAAAACGACTCCTAGATGTTAGTCGCAATGGAGCAGGTCTGTTTCATATCAAGATTTCGCACACGGCCTATCGGTTCAATCCACGTAGGGCATGTGGACAGCTGGATTGTATGTCTGTCAAAAACGGATTAATCTGGAGAGAACTGCCCACACATATGGCCATAAATCGGGCGGGAGGTCTGTGCTGGTTAGAAGGTGGTGTGGGAGCACAAAACAGATCGAATG